CGGCCATGGATCGGGGGGCCGGGGCGCCTCATTCTTCGGCTGCTCCTCCTGAAGCTACAGGCTTATCTGCACAGACCAGACCTCTGCTCTGAAGAGGGAGTTCCCGCTTTCTCATAAAAGCAAGGTGTAACCCTTTGTGCCCTGCTCTCTGTGCCGGGCCGCACTGCCCAGAGTTCCCCAGAAGGGAGCCCAGGGCAGCCATCCGCTGGAGCCCGGACGGCCCCTGACCGTCACCCTGGCCGGCCTCACACTCCCAGAGCCGCTTGCAGACGCCTGCTCCCCGCAAGCAGCCCTGCTGCAAAGTGACTACGAGAGGGACGCCCCCAAAAAGCACCTGGCTGCGCGCACGGCAGCTGACACTCAGGCCAAACAGCAGCCTCTGCCCTCCAGCCTCACGTGCCCAGCAATGCGCAGCCCTTCAGGGGGGAACGGGAGACCCCCAGAGACCAGCCAGCGGCACCGTCTTCCCATCCGCCTGTGCCTCCAATGTCCGCCCCGAGCACGACCACAGTCCCGCTGCTGTGCCCCGAGGACACTGGCCCTGGGAAGGAACCCCCCGCCCAAGGCCACCCCCCCGCCCAGGGCAGGAGCCAGGACCTGCTCGGGTCTGCTCAGGACCGTGGCCACAGGCCTGCTGAGCAGAGACCTCCCTCCACGGCCGGGTCCCCCAGGGGCAGGGAAGTGAGGACAGCCCCCTCGCCTACTGGGTCCGACCTGGCAGACGCCCCTGGCCATCCCGGCCGCCCCCTGCTGGGTCTGTGGTGCCCCGAGCTGCAGTAAATCAAGACCCTGGGTGACCTGGGCCCACACAAGGCCCCTCACCCTCTCTAGGCAGGCCCCTCCTACAAAGGCCCCGCGAGAATTCACCACCACCACCACCAAGAGGAGAGTAAGCCCGCTGCCCATCTCCAAGCAAGGGACACGTGGGATCAATTATTTGAAAACAACGGGGTCCGCGCGGAGACCATGGGCTGCGGGGCCGTTCTGGTTCTGAAGCCCTGGCCGTGTGACCGTCCAGTCAGAGGAGCCTCTGAGCTGCAGGCTCTCTGTGCGGTGGGGGCCCCGTGTCACTGGGAGCTGCTCTGCCCAGGTGGGGCCACCTGCCCCCGTTCATAAGGTGGCTGTGGCCTCAAGCGCGGAGCGGCTGGCCCTGCAGACAGACCCCCTCTGCTCGTGTAGCCACCTCCAGTGACATGGGCACTCTCGTGGGCCTGGCCGCACAAGGGGACCAGTGGGATTCAGCCTGTCAGTGTGTAACAAGGACCAGCAGCAGCCTGTCCCCCGAAATTCAGCCCCCGGGATGGGACGGGGTGAGCCGGCCTGAGACAGGCCCCTCGGGGCAACGAGTCAGGGTCTGACGCCATGGGGCGCTGAGCTGGCCCAGGGGGATTCCACAGAAGGGCGGCATGGAGCCAGCTGGGGTGGGGCTGTCCTGCCGCGTGCACGCGCGCGTGTGTGTGCATCTGGGAGGATTGGCGGGAGGACTGCCTGGTGTGTGTGTCCTGGGCGGCCCCTGGCAGAGTGGAGCCGTGGGCTTGGCTGGGCTCTCTGTTAGGCAAGGAGAGGGCCCCAGCGGCCAGCAGGGCTTGCGTGTGGAGAGGCCACTGCGCCGAGCGTCCTGGGGCGTGTTAACTGTCTCTCTGCCCGGCGCCTCTTGGGGGCTGGGGGGCAGTGGAATTCCCTGCTGCTCCAGCACTTGGCGGAGCCCGCTAGTTGGTGATGCCCTGTGCACTGTTGGAGAATGGGGGACCGCTTCTCGCCCTGGGGCCCCGGGGGACCGGGAGACACTCGGCACCATCCACTCTTCCCTCGGTGGATGAGGTTCAACCGATTTTCAGGGGTCAGCCCTTCGGACAGCCTGCGCCGTCTGCCCTTCCTGCTCAGACGTCCCCCGCGCCAGCATGACGCATCCCTTCCTTCCTGGACCCAGAGGCGGAGCAATGCTCGAGGCTTTGTCTCGAGCCCACTCTCCAGCCACACTCACGTCCCAGTGCCCAGGGCCTCGGCTTTGTGCTCTGACCACCCCAGCGGCAGCAGACCCTCGAGGGCAGCGGGCACACGTATCGGCTCACAGCCCGCTCCCCGTGACCCATGAGCCCCGCAGGACAAAGGTGATGCTCCCAGAGCTGCCTGGGTCAGTGGCTGGGGGCGCGGGTCCCCTTCACAGGGGGCAAGAGAAGACCCCCGGGTGACCCACAGGACCTGAGCAGCAGAGCATGAAATCACGGGAAAGGAATCCAAAAAGAGGAACAACAAGGAAGGAAGAGGAAGCCCCAGCAGAGCTGCAGGCAGCTCCCGGGGAGGAACGGGCAGGAACAGTGGCCCTCCAGGGCCCAGCCCACGGGCCCTGCGGTGGGGGGCAGTGTGGTCGGGGCCACCCCTCTGGGGGTGCACGTGGACCCCCCCACCTCACTGCCCGCAGGCCACCTTCCCGGCTCTAAAGCACCAACTGTGGGCCTGCCGAGCGGACACAGCCAAGGTCAAAGTAGCAGGGGCAGTTCAAGGTCAACACGTGGTATTGGCCACTGCAGCCTGATGAGGCCCAGAGCCTCCGACAGCCAGGAAACGGGCCCCGGCTTCACAGGCTGACAACGGGGCTCCCCGGCAGGCCCAGCCTGGACACAGGGACCAAAGGCAGTCCAGGCGGCCGCCCCGTGTCGCAGGCTCACCGACTAGGCCGTCAGCCTCAGGCCAGGCACAACCAAGGCCGGTCCCACCAAGCTCTGGGTCAGCCAGGTGGGCCTGCAGACGTGAGCGCTGGCCCCTCCTCACCTCCCTCCCACCCTCGCCCTGGCGTCCCACGCTCCCTATTCCCACGACAGCCCCAGGTACACCTCGGGAGGGTATCCCCAAACCTGCTCCACCAGCAGCACCGGGAGGCCCACCCAGAAAGCCAGGTGCCTCCCTGGAGGTTCTAAGGCCGGCCACGGAGTCAGGAAGGAACTTCAGTGACTCTGCGATGAGCAGGTGTGGCCACAAGCTGGACCACAGGGTAAGGGCCCCGCACGCGGGTCTTCAAAGGGGCTCCATCCAGCGGTTCCGGCTCCCGCAGGACAGTCCCACCAATGAGCAGGGCGTGAGGCTGCTTCCCAGGCTCCCCCTGTCACGCTGGCGTCACAGGGCCTCTCCGGGCACCGACTGGTCTGACGGCTTGCGTTAAAACTCAGAACCCAGCTGAGCAGACCCCGAAAGGCAACAGCACGCCTGCCTGTGACCCCATAGCGGGCTCCGGCCAGTTCCCCAAGGCCTTCTGCGGCTGTCTCTCTAAGGGAACACGAGGACGAGCGAAGAACACAGGCTTCCCAGGTTGAAGTTCTGCGCCAGCTCATCTGAGTGTCACAGGTGCAGCTCAGACCCTAAAGGGTTTGTTGAAAAGCATGCAGGACGCCCACACTTAGCATTTGCCGGTGCTCCTACCTCTGAGAGCACACAGGCAAGGCGGGTTCCAGACGAGCCGGGAGAGGGATTAGGGCTGAGAAAGCAAGAGCCTTGGACTGAGGGCGGCTGGGGGCTCGAGGCCAGCTGGGCAGGCGACACCACGGCCCTCCTGGCAGCCCTGAGCGCAGGCCCAGGGGCACCGAGCTTACAGAGAGCCACCGAGGCCCGTCCGAGAAGGAGCCAGCAGGCAGGGGGCCGCACACCCGGGAGGGCTGAGGGTCCCCGAGGACACGATGGCTCCTGGTGGCTGGTGAAACGCCACTCACGCAGAAAGGCCACACCGGGATGCGCTAGTCGGAGCCGCAGTGAGAGAAAGGCTGGGCTTACGGACTCTGCCTTCAAGTCCGGCCTGGTTTCGGCCTCCGAGCCGTCGGCAGCCGTGCCCACTCCCACACCCACGTGCAGAGGAAAGCCGGAGGGCACCCGAGGGGTGGGGGGGGGACCCTGCCAACCCGCCCCTGCCCGCTAGGACGGTGTGCTGCCCCCAGGGGGTGCCCGGCCTCTCCTGCCAGGCCCCAGGACCTGTGGCCTCCACTGACCTCGCCCCTTTTCCTGCCTGGAGCAGGACACCTCTTCCCCAACCCTCCATTTCTAGAGGGGCGCTGAACCCCAGATGAAGCAGCGGACTCGGGATGACCAACCTAGCAGCTGCAGAGAAGCCCGGGCCTGGGGCCCAGGTGATGGAGGGACAGGCCTGGGGATGCCCCGCACCAAGAGAAAGTGAAAGTGCTAGAGACCGCCTGATTCCAGAAGCGAAGTGGGCAAGGAGGACCCTCAGCCTGAGTACAGCTCCCCCCCACGCCCCAGCAGGGACCCGCGGTCCTTCCTGCTCAAGACCCCAGAGTGCGGGCCTGTTCCCGGTCAGCCGGGCTTATCTGGCTGGCGGCCCTTTGCCCCACCGCCCGAGAGCAGAGACGAGCAAAGCAGAGGTGGCTGGGAAGGAAGCAGCCAGGCGCTCCAGCCCCGAGGAGCCTTACCACGGGTGGGGACCCCACCGGGTCACCGGGCCTGGGAACTCTCGGAGGAAGAGCCCCTCCTCGGTCTCCATGGCTACCCAGGGCTTCTCACACCTCCCCAGGGGCCCACCCCGCGTGGGAGAAAGGTGCTTCCTAGGCCCCGGGGGGGGGGCATGGGGGCGCAGCAGAGGAGGGCCCACCGCCCCTGAAGCCCTCGGCCAGCGCCTCCGCCACTAAGCCTGGAGAGGGGGCTCGGCAGGCAGGAGTGGGGGGCGGTGAGACGGGAACCACAGAAGCAGGCAAAGCGGTGGAAACTAGTGAGGAGTGAGAGGAAGGCGCGGGCTGGGAATCAGGGGGAGGGGAGCGGAGAGCAGCCCCACACCCCTTCCTCGGGCGACGTCCCGGGCCCAGGTCGCCCTCCCCTCCCTGCCACCCATGCCACCCCCTCCGCCGCGGCCTCCCTCCCCTTCCCCCTCCTCCTCCTCCCACCCCTACCCCTCCCTCCAGGGCCGCCCCCTCCTCCCTCCCCTCCCCTTCCCACCGGCTGCCAGCCCCGCGCAGCCCGGCCTCCGCCTTTGTCCCGCGGGCAGGTGCGGCCGCGCTCACCCTGGCTCGGGCAGTTGGGCTCACCGCCCTCGGGGGGGCCCGGCGCCTCCGTCTGCTCGGGACCCTCATCCTGGCCGCCGTCCGCCCGCGCCTCCACAGGCACCACGGTGAAGTTGGTGGGCATGGCTCGCCCGGCACCCCAGCCACTCCGCGCGCTCCCGCCGACGAGGCCGGACTAGGGCGCAGGGGCGGGGTCAGCGCGGTCCGCCCCCGCCCCGCCCCGCCCCACGTGACCGCACCTGGCTTCCCCGCGAGCCCTGGAAAAGTTTGCGCTCGGTGGGCCGGGGCGGGGCTCCTTCCGCTGAGGACCCGCCCCCAGCCTGCGTCCGGGCGCTACCCGCGCCCCCGGACCCCCCGTGCCGCCCCGCCCCCCGCGGCTGACTTTCAGTTCCTGCACAGCCCGCTCCCCCGCTGCCCCAGGCAGGCCTCTGACCGGTCTGTCCCCCTTGCCCCCGCCCGCATGGCCATCCCCCTGCCCGCAACTGTTCCCCCCTCCGCCCTCACTGTCCCGCTCACCCCGAGAGTGGGACTGTCCACCCCGGCCGAGATCTGGTCTCCCCTCCCCTCCCCCTTGCCTGACTGAGGCTCACCGAGCGCTTCGTTTAGGGAAGCGCTTCCAGCTGAAGCGAGCCACGGTTAGCAGGGCGCCGGGTCCACAAGGGACACAACCGCGAAGCCACAAGTCACCAGGGCTCTGCGGCAGGACCCCGCCCACCGGGGACCCCAGGCCCATCCCTGCCGGCTCGGGGGAGACCTCCCCTGCCCCCACCCCACTAGGTTCTGTCTGGGGAGGACCCCGGGAAAGGAAGCTTGTAGGCTAGAGCAGGGAAGGCACAAGGTGGGACTCCAGACCCAAGCCAGGCACTCCCCAGGATGCCACCTGCCTTGTAACCTGCCATCACCTGGTAGTTTCTTAAAGACACAGGAAATCTGTGTCCAAATGTCCATCAAAGAGAAATTAGCCCCAAAATTGTAGCATTTAGGTGCACTGAATCACCCCAAAACAGTTTTACAAAAATAAGGCAGAAATACAGGTGGTGTGGGCAGAAATGGTCACGACGTACTGTAGCAGAATAATCGGCCGCTCTGACCCTGTCTGAAGGTGCACGTGAGTTTCTATGAAGACGGGGGAGGCCCACGCCGGTCTCTGGGCAGGGATCCCAGGGAAGCGCCTTCCCCTGCCCTGCGCTCTGTGAGCGACCAATCGCAGAAAATCAAAACCCGAAAAGCCACCGCCTCCAGGCAGGGTGGCCCAGGCTCCCACCTCTGTCCCGGGTTCCTGGCAGAAGGGGGCCTGGGCCCCCTGAGAATGCTCCCCTGTCAACAGCCCCACGCAGGAGCAGCACCATCCTCCTGAGGCGGGGGTGCCCTTGGCCTGGGCCACGGTCACAGCCCACCTTGCACCGAGGGGGGATCTGAAGGGCCGTGGAAGTGGCGGCAGTGTCAGACGTTAGAGATCAGGGCTGCGATGGTGCTGGGTGGCGTCAGCGGCTCTCCAGGTCAGCAGCGTGGAAGGTGGGGAAAGGGCCGCCCCCAAAGGACGGGAGCGTTTCCAGATGTCCTTCGGTGAGGGACCAGCTCCGTGGGGAAGATGGGGGCGCCGCCCGGGGGCAGCACGGCAACAGATGTGGCGCTGAAGGGGGTGGGCGGAGCACAGACCCTCTCCCTGACATCGCCCACAAGGACCCCATGTCTGACCCCCATGTGGTGGCTCAGAGATGGGCTGTGGCCTCTTCCCTGGACCTGGGGCCCTCTGTGCACGCGACCCCGGCCCCCGCACACCCTCCCGGACAGCAAGTCCCAGCCTGGAAAGATGAGGCTGCAGCTGAACCTTGGGCGGCAAAGTCGGAGGACCAAACACAGGCTCTGAACAGGAAAGGAGATGCCCCCCCAACCCCTGCCGACGCCCCTCGGCCTCTGGCCTCGGTCTCCTCATCTGTAGACTTGCTGATGAGCTCCCGTGGTCACCAACACAGCTGGACGGAGCTGAGACCCCCGGTCTGTGGGGAGGCTGGCAGCCCCCCTGCCCTCGGGGCTCTGCCCATGAAACCTCAACCCCCACTGCCCCCCAGAGGTGGCAGTAACTTGGGGTGGCAGTCAGTACTGAGCTTGCAGAAGCCTTTGTCGGTGACCCTGCATCCAGCTCCCCACTGTGACCCCCTCTGTGGCCCCAAGTCCAGGACCCCCACCCTGGGCCCCGGCTGTGCTGACCCAAGGCCCACCCACACAGAAGCCCTGCGGCCAGGCTGCCTGCCCAGGACCTAACTGGCCCTGGGTTCTGCAGAACAATGGCCTGGCCCCTGAATCACGTCATTGTCACCTGAGAAGCAAAGGAAACCCAGCCCTCAGCAGGTGAAAGGCCTGAGGGGTGGATGGGACGGCAAGGGCAGATGTCAAGGACATCACCGGGCCGAGTGCGTGTCCTCGCACTATTCTTGCGCTTTTCTGTAGGTTTGGAATTTTTCAAAATAAAATAATTTTATAATTCTAGGTAAATAAAGTTCCTTGTTTCACTACACGTAAAATGGATAAACGACCAGGACCTACTGTATAGCACAAGGAAGTATATTCAGTATCTTGTAATAAACTTTAATGGAAAAGAATCTGAAAAAGAATATAGATATGTGTAACTGAGTCACTTTGCTGTACACCTGAAGTTCACGCAAGTTTGTAAATCAACTAGACTTCAATTAAAACAACAAAACAAACAGAAGTTCCTTGTTTCTAAGTGACGCGCAGCCGTATCTTGAAACTCGGTCTCCACACCCTCCTTTCCTCCTGCCCCCAACTGGCCCTGCTCTGCCTGTCCCCAGCTCAGGACGTCATGTGCCTGGTGGCTGGGTGGCCCACTCTTGGTGCCGCGATGCCCCAGGCTCACCCACCCTGCCCCTCCGCCTCCGGGATCGGGGTGCGCACACAGGAGCAGGCAGCACCTCCCCGAAAAGTCCCTGTCGGGTGGCATCTGAAGATGTGCAGGTGGGACCCCCACCAGCACACCACCCCCCCCACCCCCCGCCCCGAAGAGACCTTGCTGGGCGGAGGAAAGGAAGTGACTTTAAAAGAACACACAGGTAGAAAGCACAGGGCCTGAGCACAGAGGGCAGGGATCCAGTCATAAGGCCCACCCTCTGGGAGACCCCACTGGGCCGTCCAGGGCATCTCATGGGGGTGGGGGATGGGGGGGATGGGGGATGGGG